CCCTCCCCTCCCCTCCCCTCCCCTTTTCTCTCTCTACTCCAACTCTGTTTAACTGTTGAAGAGTTGCCAGACTTTTCCAAAGTGTGACCATCCTTTTACATTCCCACTGGTCATGTATGAAGGTTCCAGTTTCTCCATATCCCAAACAATACATGCTATTGTCTCTCCTTTTGATTTTAGCCATCATAGTGAATATCTTGTCATTATCATTTTCCTGCTAATGATATGAAATATTTTTCCTGTACTTTATTGTACTTTTATGTATGTACATTGGAGAAGTGTATGATTTGAATCCTTTGCCCATTTTTAAGTTAAATTATTGTCTTTTCATTGTTCAGTTGCAAGAGTTCTTTATAGTCTAAATACAAGTCCTTTATCACATAAAAGATTTAAAAGTATTCTTTCACTCTGTGGGTTGTGGGTTGTCTTTTCACCTTTTTTTTTTTTGTGTGTGTGTGTGTGTGTGTGTGTGGTACTGGGTAGTGAACTTAGGGGCACTCAACCACTGATCACATCCTCAGCCCTGTTTTGTATATAGACAGTGTCTCACTGATTTGCTTATTGCCTCACTTTTGCTGAGGCTGGCTTTGAACTCATGATCTTCCTGCCTCAGACTCCTGAGCCACTGGGATTACAGGTGTGTACCACCACGCCCAGCAATCATTTTCTTAATAGTATCCTTGGAAGTACCCAAATTTTTAATTTTGATAAAGTCCAATTTATCTACATTTTTCTTTTGTCACTTGGGCTTTTGGTGTCATATCCTAGAAACCACTGCCTCACCCAAGTTCACAGATTTGCTACTCTGCTATGTTTTCTTTACACAGTTTTATAGTTTTAGCATTACATTTAGGTCTGTGATCCATGTTGAGTTATTTTTTGTATGTGTTAGGAATTAGAGGCCTAATTTCATTCCTTCTCATGTAGATATCCAGCAGTCCAAGCAACATTTGTTGGAAAGACTGTTCTTTCCCCATTGAATTATATTGGTAGCTTTGTTAGTCTGCTCAGACTGCCAGTACAGAATATAGTCAGCCCTGAATATCCATGGTTCTCCATCTGTGGATTCAACTAGTAGAGGGGAAGAGTGTGTCTGTACTGAACTCATACAGAGTTTGTTTCTTGACATTATTCCTTAAACAATATAGTGTAACAACTTATTTAYATAACATTTACATTAGGTATTGTAAGTATCTTATAAGAGACGTGTGTAGGCTATTATGCAAATATGATACCATTTTATGTAAGGGACTTAGGCATCCCACAGGAGGTCCTAAAACTAGAGACTGGGTGCCTGTAGCACAGATTGGATGCCTTAAACATTTATTTTTTTTACAGTTCTGGAGACAAGATCTTGTCCAAGATAAAGGTCTGGCAGGGTTGGTTTCTGATGAGACCTTTCTTCAGGACTTTGGAATGGCTGCTCTCTCTGTGTCCTCATAGGGCCTTTCCTCTGTGCACAAACATTCCTAGAGTCTCTTCTTCTAAGGACACTAGTCCTATTGGATTAGGGCCCTACTTCTAGCCTCATTTAACCTAAATTATCTCCTTAAAGGCCCCATCTACAAGTACAGTCACATTGGGGGTTAGGGTTTCAATGTATGGATTTCGGAGAGACAAAATTCAATCCCTAGGCTGGGTATAGTGGTACACACCCATAAACCCAGAGGCTCCAGAGGCTGAGGCAGGAGAATTGCAAGTTCAAAGCCAACCTCAGCAACTTAGCAAGGCCCTAAGCAACTCAGTGAGACTCTCTCTCTAAATAAAATACAAAAAAGGGATGGGGATATGGCTCAGTGGTAGAGTGCCCTGGGTTCAATCCCTGGTAAAAAAAAAAAAAAAAAATTCAATCCATAACAGGAACCTTTTTGGAAGTCAATTGACCATAAAGGTAGGGGTTTATTTCTACACATTTAATTTTGTTATATTCATTTATCTGTCTGTCCTTATGCAGGTACCACATTATCTTGATTATTGTAACTTTGTAGTAATTTTTTTTTTTTAGCCAATCTTTTTTTTTTTTTTTTTTTTTTTATGTTTTTTTTTTTTTTTTTTTTTTTTTTTTTTTTAGAATTTTTAATATTTATTTTTTAGTTCTCGGCGGACACAACATCTTTGTTGGTATGTGGTGCTGAGGATCGAACCCGGGTCGCACGCATACCAGGAGAGCGCGCTACCGCTTGAGCCACATCCCCAGCCCTTTAGCCAATCTTTTACTATATTTATTCTTAACAAATTTTGGGGGGATTATCAGCACTTCAACCATGTTGATAAAATAACCACACTTAAATAGCTCACACTATAGTATTTAAATAATTTTTATAGCACATCATAATTTACAAGGTATCTTTGTGTCCACTGTATCATTTGCTCTTCACTATGATCTTAAGAAGGGTATAAGACACAGGGCAGAGGAAGATGCTTACAGAGGCTAGATGTTTCCACTCACAAAAGTCAGGTTGTGCTGGTCATACTGTAAGTTTTCTTAAGTAGATATACTACACTTATAATTCTTGTTTTATAAATGTGATGTTTTGTGGGTTTTTTTCCTTTTGTGTGTGTGGTACTGGGGATTGAACCCAAGGTCTCATGCTTGCTAGGCAAGCATTTCTATATATCCCAACCCTTTTTTAAATTTTTGAGACAGGGTCTCATTCAGTTGACCAAGCTGGCCTCAAGCCTGTAATGCTCTGGCCTCAGCCTCTCGGGTAGCTGGGATTATAGACATATACTACCATACTTGAATATGTTTTTAAGTGATCTGTACATGTGAAGATATTTTAAGTGATGTTTCTCAAGCATTAGCTAGTTATAAGGATCATCTTAAGAACTAGTTGAAAACAGATTCCTAGGCCTCAACCTGAGAAATTCTGATTCAATATGTCTGAAATAGGACCAGAGAACTGTTATTTCTGACAAGCTCCAGGATGATATTCCTGCTGCTTGTCCACGGCCCACACCAAGTAGCATGTGTTAATGAACATATGTTAGGAATTTGCTTCATGTTGTTAATTCAGAGTTGGCAACTCTACTTTTACCTTCAGAATTTGCTTAGAAGCCATGCCTATAATCCCAGTGGCTTGGGAGGCTGAGGCAGGAGGATCACAAATTCAAGGCCAGCTTCAGCAATTTATTGAGGCTCCAAGCAACTTAGCAAGACCCTGTCTCAAAATAAAAAATAAAAAGGGATGGGGATATGGATTAGTGGATAAGTGCCCCTGGGTTCAATTCCCAGTTCCAAAAAAAGAAAAGAATCTTAGTTACCAACACAGCAGCCTTTCAAAGGTGATTAGGTCAAGAAAGATTAAATACCATTATTGCAGGAGTGGTAGAGAGTTCCTTAGAAAAGGATGAACTGGGGCCCTGAACCACCTGGTGCCTTTTGCCTTGTCATGATACAACCAGAAGGCCCTCACCAGATGCCAGTCCCTTCAAGTTCATCTTCCCAGTCCCCATAATCATGAGCCATTAAATTTCAGTTCATATATAAGTTAAACAGTCTGGTTAACCAGTCTATAGCAACATACAAAGGACTAAGACACACCTGGCACCTTGTTACCATTTCTTTTTTGCTGTCACCTTTTCCTTCCTTTGTTGTTTATGAAGCTGGCTGTATTTGTCATATGAGTTTTAAAACAATTATAACTGCAGATAGTTCAGGAATAAGAAATATTCTTTTACTATTCCAAGCATCTGTGACCAGTGTAAGCAGCAGGATCTCAGCTTTGTAACAATGTCCAGGGCCTTGAAGGATGGCCCTTATGGTCTTATTTGAAGAAGGTAGACATACACAGGTGTCAGACAGGCACTGATATTAGAGTTAAATATATACAAAGAAAAGAAGACATAAAGACCTAATGAAACAATCTGATCAGAGTGACTAATAAGAAGATCTAACTGGCATTCATATTTTCTCAGAGAATAGGACCAACTGTGGCCCTGTCCTGAAGGACATGTGATCCCTGGGTTCTTTTTCTATCCTATTCTTTATCCCAGGCAGAGAGCAGATTCCATTCTTAACCCTTTGCTTCAAGCCTCTCTCTTTCCTTCCCAGTGACTGCCATGTGGCATGGGTCTCTGCCCAGGCTCGTAATGAGACAATAGCAAGAAGACTATGGGATGTCAGCTGTGACCTGCTGGGACTCCCAATGGATTGACTGGTGGTAGTTGGACCCCAAAGAAGACTGCAGCTGAAGATACAATGCTCCTGACAAAATGTTTCTCCTTCAAGGTGGCCAAAACCTGAAGCACAAAAAGACAAACCTTCTGGCCTAGCCTACGTGGTATCCAGTTAAATTCCAGTACACTGCCAGACTCATGTTAATACCTTGCATTTGTCCAGACTTACTTTGTTCTTGTTACTACCAGTTTCTAGCAATATCATTGGATAAGATAACCTCATAAGACCTGCACAGCTCATATTTTCCTTCTGAAACCTACTCCTACTTAACAGAATCTAAGCTCTGGAAGGTTGATGTTTGGAAATACGTAATAGTCTACCTTCTTTGTTCACACTGTAATTTCTCCCAATCAACCAACCTTTACTTCAAGGGAGGCACACTGCAACCTCAGCTGAATCCCACGAGTCACGGTGGCTTGACTCAAAAGCAGGGCTTCATTGCACCAACACTGGGATTCTTTCAGGAAATCCTTCACTGAATCTGGATTATGGCGCGGCCTTATTTCTTACAACCTAAAGCCACTGCTGTTAAGATATTTACCCAAGTCCAAACCACAGAAGAACTTCCTTTTCTAAGAAGTTTGTGGTATTTGGGGGAGAGCAGAAATTTTTAAAAAAATCAACATGTCATTTTCCTACCATGTCTCAAACCAGTAAGAGGGTAATGAAAATAGCATTATTAAACAACAGGCCACTTGGCTGTACTGACTCCAGTCCCATGGAGGCCTCCTTTTTGTGCCTTGAAACTAGAAAAGGAAAGGGAAGTGTTTTCGGTCATTGTCATTATGTTATCTTTTTTGTGTCTTCTTGTGTATTTATGCAGTTGGGAGTATTTTCACAAAATTTACAACAGCCACAAAGAAACAGTGGCATCAAAGCAGATACTAATGTAAGGATATGATCAGAGATGGAACAAACCAGTGTCATTCATTTGTTTATATAAATGAGTACAGCTGCAAAGAGAAGCAGACTGTATATGTTGGTAACCAGCCAATAAGAAGCAGGTGGGTATAGGGACAAGTTAAAAAAAAAAGTTCCTAAAATTCTATATTTTATTTGGAGAACTTTTATCAAAAGTAATGTTGCCAAAGAAGTCTGAGGAATTGGTAATGTTCCCATCACTTCATTGGAGTATGTGATTCTAAGAGAGTTTGTGACTTTCCTGGACTGAAAACTATATATTAACTTTAGTAAGGAGAAGTTATAAGACCACATCCTTCACTTCTCATATATTTATAAAAATGATAAATCTTTTATTGGACTGTTTTGACCATTAAACTATATATTTAGAAATGGTCATTTCTAGGAACATTGGAAAACTTGGTAATAGTACAGAATAACTCAATACGTAATTTATGTGGAACTGTCAATGACAAAAATTCTTTTTGATTATTTATCATGTTTTTAATCAGAATAAAAGTGTAAGAATTAAAAGTTTCAAGAGTCAAAAGAAGAAAGCACCTATTATAATTATGCAATCATTTTTCATTATAAAAGATAAATTTGTCCCAGAATCTAACTACAGTACAATCTCAGTTCACATGCCATTAATTTGTGTTGTTGATAATTTGACCATTCACTCACTTCCTACTTAACTTTATGACGTTGACCAAAGGTCACTTTTTCTGAAATCCTTGATCATCCCCAGAATTTTCTCTCTGTACCAGCCTTTTATTTCTGTAACACAGTGTTATAGGACTTAACACTACACTGCTGCTCACAACCAGAGACTGTATCATCTCTCTGCACAGTGCATGTTAAGAGCTCAACTAATTTATTTGTTTAAAGCAATGGTCAGTGAACTCAAATCTAATAAAAACAAGGATCTGAGAGAAATCACCAAAGCAGCGAGGCGTGGTGGAACACGCCTGTAATCCCAGCCACTGGAGGCTGAGATGGGAGAATGGCAAGTTCCAGGCTGGCCTCAGTAATTTAGCAAGGCCCTCAGCAACTTAGTGAGACCCTTAGATTTTTTTTTTTTTTTTTTTAAAGGGCTGTATGGGCAGTTTAAGTATTGGCACTTTAGGCAAACTACGCAATCACTATAGACAGGAATCCACACCCACGGAGTGTAGGAAAAAACTTTATAATTGCTAAGTTCACTTAGTGGGAGACCATACCTCTTTTCTTCAAGCCCGGCCCATCTTCTACCCCACATTATAAACCACCCAAGGACAAAGTAAATTATTTGATTCATCAACATATGCGCAGATTCCCACCAACACCTACACTCAAACGCCTTTTGTAAACTAATGCACAGCCTAGTGCACGTGGCGGTCCCAGTCCGTATTTTGAGGTTGCACTGACTTCCCCAGTGCACCACCGCCCGACGGCCCGCCTATCCTTCTAGGGCTAAAAGCCAACACGTAGGACACGAAGTGAGGAAGTCAGAGTGGCAAAGAAGGGAGCGATAACCGTGAAGAGGATGTTCGGGACGATTTTATACTCCAGCACAAAAAACGGAACACGGCAGCCCCACGGGCGCGTGACCCACAAGCCGAGCGTCCAGCGCCCGAACTACAGCCCCCGGCATGCACTGCGTCCAGCCCCGCCCCTCGCCGGCCGGCGGGGCCCGGAGGAGGCAGTCAAGCTGCCCGCGCCGGGGCCCTCCTCGAGCCCTTCCGCTGTGGCGCCTTCTCTAACCCGGGCTGGATATTTCCAGGGCCGCAGACGGCCGCTCTCCCCGACACAGCGCCACTTCTGCAGAAGTCGCCAGACATTGTGGCCCTCCGGACTTTCTGTCAGGCTTTCGTGCCCGACGCTTCCGCTGTGAGCGGCCGGCCGGGTGGGCGTTCCGGCTACGAAGGACCCCGTCGCGGCCCCGGAAGCGCCTGGTTCCGGGCATTGGTGGTGCGGCGGTAGCCGTGATGGCTTTGGGTCTGGGCGGCTGACCGCTGGGCTAGGAGCAGGCCCAGGGTCTAGAATCTCAGCGGCCGCTTCTTAAGCACGGCTTCACCATGGCCACCTCGGCCGCCTCCTCTGAACATTTCGAGAAGCTGCACGAAATCTTCCGCGGCCTCCATGAAGATCTACGAGGGGCACCCCAGCGGCTGCTGGGGACGGCTGGGACCGGTGAGGCGGGGGCGGGACAAGCCGTGGGGAGCTCGAGTTTAGGAAGAAAGAGTCTCCTCCCTCCTCCCGGGCACCGACCCCTTGCTCCCCGCTTCTCTCCCTCAGACACGCCCCCTAGAGCTGGCACGTCCCTCTGTTCAGGGGTCTCCCTGCTGTCACTGAGAGGGGGCTGGGGACGTGGCCAGGGTGCCATTTAACGATTGTTCTACCGTTCTATTTCAGTAGAATGGGTTTCTTTTGTAACTCTGTATTTTGTTGTAGTCACTTAAAAGCATCATTATCAAGAGAGACTTCATCAGACAAAAGAATCCATAACACAGAATAGGGCCAGGAACCCAAAAGAATCATACCTTCTGGCTATTGGAATGTAAGGGTTCATGGGAGTTTGCCAGAGGGGGAATGAAAAGAGGCAATGAAATTAAAAAAAAAAAAAAAAAAAAGAATACTCTCAACTGGAGCTTAGGGTGTAAATGGAAAAGCAGCTAGAGACAAGAAAGGTGAAACACACTATGGAGGGACCTAAATGTCATATTAAAATTCTTGGACCTGATATAGAGAATCAGTAAAGGATTTTAAGCAGCTGATTGATATGAATTTTATTTTAGAAAGAGGGCTGTGATAGCTGGTTAAGAGGCTGGCTATAGGAGACCATGTTAGGAGCTTGAGTGACAGTCATCTAGAGGGAGGTGGTTCTAAGCAGAAATTAAGCAGACTCATTAGCTATTGAAGGAGTGAGAAAAAGGGTTCAAGGGTTTCTAAGTTTTTTCACTTGGTCAGTTGAGTGAATGATGAACTTGAAATAAGAGAAGCAGCCAGGCATAGTGGCACATGCCTGTAATTCCTGCTACTTCAGATGCTGAGGCAGGAAGATCACAGGTTCTAGGTCAGTCTAGGCAACTTAGGGAGACCTGTCTCAAAACAAAACAAAAAGGCTGGGGATGTACCTCAGTGGTAATGCACCCCTGTGTGTGTGAGAGAGAGAAGTAGACTTCTTTGCTTGGAGGAGTTCATCAAGGGTAACTTTAGAATAAAAATCACAATGAATATATCTGTTTTAGCTTAACAAAAATATTTTTTCTGCCATCAGAAATATCATTTATGAAGAACATATTAATGTGAGTGGAGAGACAGCATAGTAATACTTAAAAGCAAGAATTTTAGAGCCAAACTGGGTTAAATATACATTTTGATAGCTATGTGATCTTGCAAGTTATTTTAACCAAATTAGTTTCCCTTGCAGAATGGGGATAAATCATACTATTTAACTTCATAGGATCTTGGTGAGGAATTAATGAGTTAATGTATGTAAAGCCCTTAGAATATTACCTTGCAATAATAAGAACTGTTAGTTATTGTTATTAACATATGGGAAATTTGATATTTAAATGAAAACTAATACCAATTCTGTATACAACTAACTACTCTTATGTAGCTCTGCTTTTCCCCCCCAGAACATTTATTTTCTGATATAGTAGACACTTTACATATTTCTGATATTTATATGAAATGTTTGTTTTCCTTTCATTGGAAAGATAGTTTCAGTGTGGTCCATGAACCAGCAGCATCAGCACCATCTAGGAACTTGTTAGAAATATAAATTTAGATATATAGACCCACTGAATCAGAAAACTGTTTTGACAGCCCTCCAGGGGATTTCTGAAGCAAACTCAAGTTTGAAATCCCTGAGCTAGAATATAACTCAGTATTTTATTTGCTTTGCTTATTATGAATCCTGAATTCCTAAAATATTGCCTAGCACATGCTAAGTGATAAATATTTGTTGAATGATTGAATTGTGTAAATACTGTGAATTGTTGTAAAGAAAATAACTGAGTATTGGGCTGGGGTTGTAGCTCAATGGTAGTGCACTTCCTACCATTGTGTGAGGCACTGGGTTCAATCCTCAGCACCACATTAAAATAATAATAATAATAATAAAGGTATTATGTCCATCTACAACTAAAAAAATCACTGAATATTAAAACTAATAGTGTGTTTTTATTCTGTTTTTACTTTTTCATTACTCTTAAAATTGATATAAGCAACTACTTTTTAAGGGAATATCATGCTCCAAATTCTTTTATTTTGTTTATTTGTTTTTATATGGTGCTGAAAATCAAACCCAGTGCCTTAGCACTCTACCATGAGCTATAATTCCAGCCCTATATGCAACTATTAGAACAACAAAGATGGAGATTTTTATTTCCCTAAAGAACAGTCCACATTCAGTTTCTGCCATTAAAGGATAATAGACACCAAGTGTCATTTTAGGAAGTTTTTGTAGCCATGACAATCCATTTATTATCATATACTATAATTATCAATCTATTTAATATAATATTAAGACCTACAGCAGGATTTCAAGATTCAGTTTTGTACCACCTGAATAGGTCTCTCCAAATACCTCAGTGTTATAATTTCTTTTTTAAAATTTTTTCTTTTTAATTGTTAATGGGCCTTTATTTTATATATTTATATGTGGTGCTGAAAATCAAACCCAGTGCCTCACACATGCTAGGCAAGTGCTTTACCACTGAGCTACAACCCCAGTCAATTTCTTAATTTAATTAGTATGTTAAATGCCTGTACTCATGATTTCTAGCTTTGGTTTTACAGTACCTGAAGACATCTTTCCATATGTCTTAATGTTGAATGTAAAAAGTCTTTGAAAAGAGAAAAAAAAAGTTTTTGAAAGTTTTTCGTTTTCATTCACATAAACTTTAGTGTATGTACATGAGACCCTATTATTTTGGGAGCTAGAAAAAGTTATCACCACAATACCATGTACAGAAGCCTGATAAACACCAGTTACAGTCTTTGGAATTATAATTATTTCAACTCTCTTCATACTCTGTGATGAATTTGGTTTTCTCCTACATATTCCTACCTGAGGATTTATTTTCAAAATTAGGTAGGGGCTGAAGGTTATATAGTTCCGTGGTAGAGCACTTGCCTAGTATATATTAGGCCCTGGGTTCTATGCCTGGCACTTGCTAAGTACTTGTTATTTGTATTATCTCATAATCCTTTCATACACTCCCATGAGGTCAGTACTATTATATTTCCTACCTAAAGGTCTGGAGGTTTGCTTTTAACTCATGTGTGAGATCAGGCAACCCATTAGTCCACACACAGAGGCTGTAGATCATAGAAATGCCACGGAGGGGCGCCAGAAGCAAATGAACCACATATTTTTCAAAGAGAGCGTATTTGATTTCATATAGGCTGGTATGGGGGTTGTAGCTCAGTGGGAAAACACTTGCCTAGCACGTTTGAATGGGTTCAATCCTCAGCATCACATTAAAAAGTGAATAAATAAAATAAACGTATTGTGTCTCATATATATATATATACATATATATGTATATATATATATGTATATGAATGGAATCTATAATTCTTTTTTTAAAAATTACAGACTGTAGAGCACTCCTAGATGGGAAGTGTGTGCTTTATGAAATCAGGTGGATGATAGAACATACCAACTACAAAAAGACGGAATAACAGGATCACAGGGAAGTTTGCAAAAGAATACAGTTTCGGTGGACTATCTCTTCTCCCCTATTTTTATTTATGTAGTTCGTTTTTAATCATTCTCAAATTTGCCCCTTGAAAACACAGATTTTTTTTTTAGATCCATTAGCAAAGAAAGAATAAAGGAAGAGATCTTATGACTAACAGAGTTGTAGAAAAATGTGAGCCAGGAGGGGAATGCACATATGTGTACAACACTGCTTTATACTGTCTGGCTTAGATCAGGAATAGATGTACTTGAATTTGGAGATATGCCATTTCAGAGAAGTGACTACACTAAGCACTTTTGTGACAGCTTATTGCAAAATGACACAATACTGCTCCATGGCAGTATCTGTTTTTGACTAACTATTATTATTTCACTGTTGGTGGCTAAGAACACAGTCCCCTTGAGAATAGTAACAGCTGCTTTGATGTCCATTTCAGTTGTGTCTCGGATAGCCAAGAGGCTGTTTGCCATGGCTGAACTTTCCCCCTATTAAATAAATAAAAAATGAAGCCATTTTTTTTTATGTTGTTTGTTTGTTTTAATATTTTTTAATTGTAGATGGTCACACTACTTTTATTTTTTTTATTTGTTTTTTTATGTGGTGCTGGGAACTGAACCCAGTGCTGGACACATGCCAGGCAAGCGCTCTACCACTGAGCCACAACCCCAGCCCCACGCCATGGGTTTTTTTTTTTTTTTTTTTTAAGAGAGAGAGAATTTTTTAATATTTATTTTTTAGTTCTCGGTGGACACAACATCTTTGTTTGTATGTGGTGCTGAGGATCGAACCAGGGCCGCACGCATGCCAGGCGAGCGCGCTACCGCTTGAGCCACATCCCCAGCCCCCCCACGCCATGGGTTTTATGAACAGTGTGGACAAATAATTCACCTGCAGTGAATTATGTATGCTAAAGGAGTGTCACTATAGTAAAGGATCTGTTGTCATTTTCTCTTTCAGGCAGTAACAACATCTAGAGGAGATGTAAACTTTTAGAAGCTATGGACAAAGTTTAAAAAGACAAAGTAAGCCAAGTATGTTGGCATAGCCCATAATCCCACCGATGTAGGAGGCTAAGGCAGGTGGATTACAAATTTGAGGCCAGCCTCAGCAACTTAGTGAGGCCCTAAGCAACTTAGCAAGACTGTCTCAAAATAAAAAGGGCTGGGGACTTATCTCGGTGCCTCTAGTACTTTAAAAAAAAAAAAAAAAAAGTCAGTTACCTTGTTCTGGAGGTGCTTATCTCAAGTTGAGAATATAACAAGCACATAAGTGATTTGTGATCAGTTAAAAAGCAGCTGATAACTGATATAATAAATATTGTTGTGATTAACAGTGTAAATCCATGCAAACCTTTAGCGATGTTGCATCTTATGTGGATTGAAAGGATCTAGAGATGGATGGTGGTGATGGTTGCACAACAATGTGAATGTACTTAATGCCACTGAAATGTATGCTTAAAAATGGTCAAAATGAGGCTGTAATACAGACTACTTGGGAGGCTAAGGCACGATTGCAATTTTAATTGAGACCCTGTCTCAAAATAAAAAATAAAAGGACTGAGGATATAATCGCTCAGTGGTAAAGTACTCCTTAGGTTCAACCCCAAGTCCCTCCCCACCAAATGTCAAAATGGTAGATTTTTTTTATTATGTGTACTTTACCACAATTCAAAAGAAACAGAACACTATATCGTCAGATTGTAAAGGTAATCTCAAAAGATTAGAAAAACATTATAAGCAATAGTAACTTTGTGGATAATAGATTATGTTTAGATTTCCAATGAGAACATTCATTTGTATACATTTTTTTAAAATTCAAGTTCCCCATAAATTGAACTGATTTCTTTCTCATTTTAGAGCCAAGGGAGGAGATCAGGTACCAAAGATAAGAAGATAGTTACCTACATTTTCACGGTGAGGCAGGCCCAAAGCTGGCACTAGAACCTGACACCCCTGACCAACTAGGATTCTCCCCCTATACAAATATTTACCATATCACAGCATTGAAAATGCCTTCATGATTTTTTCTGCCAGGTGTGTTGTATACCTATAAGCTGAGTGACTCAGGAGGGAGGCATAGGCAGGATGATTCCAAATTCAAGGCCAGCCTCAGCAACTTAATGAGACCCTTGTCTCAAAGTAAATAAAAAGGACTGAGGATGTAGCTCAGTGAGTGGTAAAAGAAACCCTGGATTCAAGTTCCAGTACCAAAAAACAAACAAGAACTTACTAATTTTTGCTATATTAAATGCCTCTTTTTTTTTTTTTGGTACCAGGAATTGAACCCAGGGGCGCCTAACCCACTGAGCCACATCTCTAACCCCTTTTATTTTTTATTTTGAGACAAGTTCTTGCAAGTTGCTGAAGCTGGCTTTGAACTTGCCATTCTCCTGCCTCAGCCTCCCAAGCCACTGGGATTATAGGCGTGTGACACCATGCCTGGCCTGAGTGCCATTTTTATTATTGTTTTCTCTTTATTAACCCATTCATGTAAAGTACATTTATTTAATATGTAAAGATACTTTAAAAAGAAACTTGTTATATTTTAAATGGGAAATTTCTGTAAATGATCAGAAAAAAATATAATGAAAACAGAAATTTTAGTCTGTTGCCAGCGCAGACGGTATGAAAAGTTCGGCTACGTGGGAAAATCCTAATGGAGTTTAAAGACACAGATTCCATTTATCTTCAAACCAGCTCCAGGATGACTCCTCAAACCCCCAGCCTCCAGCTACCCAAGGAAGTAATGAGGTTTACTGAAGAGGAGAGAGAGAGAGAGAGAGAGAGAGAGAGAGAGAGAGAGAACGCCAGGGAGAGGACTTCTATTGGGGAACAAAAAATTCTGGGGAAAATCCCATCCAATGAAGGTTAAGGGGGACAGTGTTCCAAGGTCAGGTAAGATGATTGGATCTTCGAGGGCTGTGGTCAGGCGTGCCTCCACATGGACAAGCCCTCCAGACCCAAGGAGGGTGGGGAAAGCTCTAACACACAGAAAAGTATCTGAGCGCCTCTCATCCAGCCAGGGAGATAACTCATCATGTGCAAGGATGGCCTCCCACAAGAAATAATTCTTTTCTTAGATGTTATTACTTTGATACTGAAGCATGTTCTATTTTTGTTAAAAGAGGAGATTAGTAATTCATAGGTATTAAAGACAGCACCAAAATGACATTGGAAGGGTTGAAAGAGAACTCAAGGTAGAGTGACAGGTCTTGTATGCAAGTCATTACCTATGTCACCACCCAGGAGGAATGAGTACCACACCAATGAGCAGAGTTGGTGAATTTTGAATTTGATTTGTAGAAAAGCAGTGCTTCAGGGTTAACATGGAAGAAGTGATTTACTGTGGGGTGAAGGTGAGAACACATTTCAGCGATCCATATTGGTAAACTTATTGATGAAAGTTTGCCTGGCCCTTCAGTTATGATGGGGAAAATGGTTGAGAATGATTAACTTAGACCTGTAGCGTTTCTTAGCATAGGTTTTCTTGTTCCTTGAATACTAAATGCCAATAGTAATACCACCCGCCTCAGTCATCATGATCACAAGTTCCCCATATACTTCCAAATGCCTTTTAAGAGTGATTAAGTTCCCCCACTCCCAATGGGGGAGAAATGAGAAGGTTATCCTAAGTGGATGGAATGGCCTCTACAAATATGTGGAAGAAACAATGAGTGTTACTTATCTTTTTTCTAGAAGAGAAGAAGAAGTTGATCAGAGATTTTGATGAAAAGCACCAGGAAGCAAATGAAACGGTGAGAACAAGGAACAAGTTCTTGTTTCTTTTCCTTGGTGTTGGGCTTTTCCAGAAGTAATTCTGTGACCTGATCATAGATTACTTTTTTCTATCTATTGATCCTTGATTGTGACTATTTCTTATTAATGAGGCTACTTGATGGGGATGGGTGGTTAGGAGGTTGAAAAACACAAATGGGTGAAACTTGGAAGACTCTCCTAAAATACTGCATTCCTTATGTGAGTAGTAAGGGCATTCTCACTCCTTAATCTGAGTGGTATTTTCAGATCTCTTCATAAGAGCTAGCCTCTAGGATAGATTACTGTTCTTTGTTAAACTTGCTGTCACAGAAAATGTAGCTCAGAGATGGTTCTAGCCATATTCCTCTCTTGGAAGATAGCATAACTGGATTTTGTTCCTCGGGCAAGACATTCAAGAACAGAATGAGTTGTCTCAAGCAGGACCCAAAGCCTTTCAAGTCAGTCCTGGTTGCTGGGGGCTTCTCTCTTGCCTTGCTTTTCTTTAAATTTTTTTTTTCTTTTTTCTTTTTGCTCTAACCCTTTGGAAGCAAGAGCCCTTCTAGCTCCTTCTCATTAAGCTCTAGCTTCAGTAAACCTATTAAGATTGGGGCTAAAATCTAGGTCCTTGGTAATATCCTGATCTTGTCACCTGCACTGCTCTGTTACCTGGAACCTCTGGGCCAAGTAGCATGATGTCTGATTCAGTTGATTCTACATCAACTAAACTGTTGCTGTTATTTTTTCTAATGGAATAACTGCTGTTATTTTTTCTAATGGAAGAACACTGAAAGGTTTGACCAGACCATTAATTTGATTTTGGATGAAAGTCATAAACGAGTGTTTAGTTCTTCACAGGGATTAGAACAAGTAGTATAAGAGCTACACATTGTAAGAGGTGATAGCGTTACAGTCACTGGAGAAATTGATGAAGAGAGACATTCTGTGCTTGACTTAGGAAATATTCAAGCAGAACCTCTAAATTCTATAGCACACTGAGAAAAACTACATAAATTGGACATCTCTAAATCTTGTACAGAAACTGATTATTCTGAAGAAGAGGTTTGGAATTTTGGGGACTGTGGAATTTGATTTCATATTGATTCATTATAACATGTAGGTTAAAATATTTCTACATTTTTTATTGAAAAACAAAAAATGAAATAGCTGCCCTGAGTTTTGCTACTTAAGAGCAGRCTTAGGAGAAAAATCATTTTCATGACAAAGATCTTCCTCTTTGCTTATTGAAGATCAACCTCCCAGTTATCCCACTGAAGTTCTGAGAAGTTAGACTTATCTACATCTTTTCTCTTTTTGTACCTATTTTAAGGAGACCACTAAAATATGGAAATGTATCTCCTTCATAGTAGGACTATTAGACATTTTTTTGTACAGTTGGGCATATCCATGATACCTATTATGTATGAGTCTCCTCTTTCAATTAACATCCTGATAGTATTTTAGAAATCTAGCCACTTCTGATTTATGTATTTGGTGTTCATATACTCTCTGGTTTTTAATTGAGCAAGATTAACAGTCCCACTCTGGCATCCTAGGCAGATCAAAATAATTTAGGCCTTCCTGTCTGTATGTGTAGGGTTTTTTGTTTTTAACTTAGAAAAATGGAAGTTTGACTCTCCAAAGCATCCTACTCTGTGGGCCCCTACTTAATCTCTGCCTTAGAGAGAAATGTAGTTGTTGATTTTCAGAAAAAAAGAAGAAAATAACCCTTATGTCAGATCATTTTTAGTATAGTAGACTTGAATATATTTATTTTTTTTTGAGAGAGAGAGAGAGAGAATTTTTTAATATTTATTTTTCAGTTTTCGGTGGACACAGCATCTTTATTTTATTTTATGGTACTGAAGATCAAACCCAGCGCCCCGTGCCATGCACGTTACCGCTTGACCCACGTCCCCAGCCATTGAATATACTTCTTGATGTCCATGTTGAACCATATCAGGCTGAAGATCTGAAAATTTTGAATCCTAACTCCTCTTAGGATGTAAGCAGTTTTAAGTCAGTCTTGTGAAATGGAGAAGGTATTTCCTATCATTGATTTGTTGTAGGGATTAAATTAGAGAATGTACATAAAGACGTATTTAACAAGCTCTAAGTTGCTTCTGTTAGTTGGGGTTTTTTTGTTTGTTTATCTTTTGCAGTACCAGAGATAGAAACCAGGGCCTTGCAGTACCAGAGATAGATAGGAAGGTGTTCTACCACTGAACTACCCCCCAGCCCATTAATGTTTTCTTTGATTTATTCATCCATCACAGATTTTATTAATGAATGCTGGCTAGACACTATTCCAGGCACTTGGAATGAAGTGAACATGGCATTTGGAATGAAGTGAACATGAGTTCCTGCCTCATGGAACATATGTTCGAGTGTCATTTGGGGTTGTTCAGGGTTTGACAAATTCAAAGTAGGCACATCCTCAGATGAAAAGGGGGAGACCCGGGCCACATATTTATTACTTGGTGCTTTCCCAGCTGGCAGAGATGGAGGAAGAGCTACGGTATGCACCCCTGTCCTTCCGTAACCCCATGATGTCTAAGCTGCGAAACTACAGGAAGGACCTTGGCAAACTCCATCGGGAGGTGAGAAGCACACCTTTGACAGCCACACCTGGGGGCCGAGGAGACATGAAGTATGGCACATATGCTTTAGAAAATGAGCATATGGTAAGTATTAGCTGGTTGATTTTTTTTGTTTGTTTGTTTCCCCTTCCCTGAAGGAACTGTGGTACAAGAATTAAACATTGTGGGGGCTGGAGATGTGGCTCAGCGGTAGCGCGCTCGCCTGGCATGCGTGCGGCCCGGGTTCGATCCTCAGCACCACATACCAACAAAGATGTTGTGTCCGCCGAGAACTAAAAAATAAATGTTAAAAAAAATTCTCTCTCTCTCTCTCTCTCTCCTCTCTCACTCTCTCTTAAAAAAAAAAAAAAAAAGAATTAAACATTGTGGAGTTGCAGTTCACATTATCAGTGCATACTGGATTCTTGGGTTTTTTAAAATTGTAGTTCCCTTTCTTGCATCTAATTCTTCTTTTCCCTTGTGGTACCTGCTCTTTTTAATGCAGATCTTTTGGCAGGGACGGATAATTGAAACTAGGGGCACATAACCACTGAGCCACATCTCCAGCCCTTTTTATGTTTTATTTTGAGATGGTGTCTTGCTAAGTTGCTTTGAACTTGGGATCCTTCTGCCTCAGCCTCCCGAGCCACTGGGATTAAAGGTGTGCATTACCATACCTCACTTAATGCATATCTTTCTAAACCCTATTTACTTAGATTTATGTCATATATGTATGTATATCTTTTTGTGTAGTAGTATATAAATGTTTCTTATTCCTACCTGAACTCTGTTCTGACATGTTAATCTAATTTTTTTTCTTCTTGAGGTTTTATTCTTTCATATACATTTTAGAATCACTTTCTCATGTAGGCTCCAAAAAGTTCATTTAGGTTTTTCATTTGTCAAAATATTGTAACAAAATTAATCTTTCCTTTACCTTAATATCAAAATGGTCCAGCAGCTATCCAAGAAAATGCAAGGTGCTTCTCAAGAAGCCCCTCCACCTCCCAGGCACTGGGGATTAAACCCAGGGGCACTTTACCACTGGCTACATCTCAAACCCTTTTTACTTTTTGAGAAAGTTTCCAAGGTTAGCTTTAATTTAAGATTCTCCCAAGTAGCTGGGATTACAGCTCAGAGGCTTCTGACACCTCTTCTAATGGAAAATGAGCCTGATTACCTCTTCAGGGTTCTGGTTTATAAAATTGGACTAATTGAAAACTTACATCCTGGAATCATCTAGAGAATCTGGTTAAAGATATTTATCACAAGATTTCACAAAGATTAAATTTAATGGGTTGTATTTGGATTATATTTCACAAATATAGTACAAAGTAGAAATTAACATTACAGATTGTATGTTAAGAGAAATGGAAAGGGGCCCACCATTGCAGACCAAACTTATGGAGAGATGCTGGTAATAGAAATAGTTCATAATGCATGCTGATTATAGTCTGAAGGACATTCAGAATGTTACTGGGTTGACATATTTGATATCAAAACAAGATATTTTGCCAGGCCAAGAGGTACACACTGACTGGTGACTCAGGAGACTGGCAGAAGGATCGCAAGTTCAAGGCTAGCCTTAACAATTTAGCAAGACTGTCTCTCAAAATAATAAAAATAAAAATAGCTGGGGATATAGCTCAGTGGTAGTGTCTTTGGGTTCAATCCCTCATACAGGAAAAAAAAGAAAAAGAAAAACCACATTTTGAGAATGATGTAAAACTTTCAAATGGATAATTATAAAATCACATGAAAAGACTGGAGGGCTGGGACTGTAGCTCAGTGGTAGAGCACTTACCTAGCATGTGTGAGGCACTGGGTTTGATTCTCAGCATTGCATGTAAATAGGTAGAATGCCCAAAAACAACTAATAAAAATGGTTTAAAAAAAAAAAAAAAAAGACTGGAAAAAGCCAGGAAGGTGGAAGTTTTATAAAAGTGGCTTTGGCCATTGTTACCAGAAACATGGAGGGGATGCATCCAAACATTTTGCTTTAAATTTATTWGTTTCAGAAATTTTAAATCATAATTTTTTTTAAGTGAGTCTCACTCTGTTGTCCAGGTTGCCCTCAAACTCTTGAGCTCAAATGATTTTTCTTCTTCAACATTCTGAGTATCTAGAACTAATGCCGCCATACCCAACACCATAAATCATAATATAGATTATATGTACCACTTTCTTTCTTTCTTTGTTTTTTTTTTTTTTTAAGATGGAGAGAGAGAGTTTTTTTAATTTTTTTTTTTTAGTTTTCGGCAGACACAACATGTTTATTTGTATGTGGTGCTGAGGATCGAACCCAGGCCGCACGCATGCCAGGCAAGCGTGCTACCGATTGAGCCACATCCCCAGCTCCTTTCTTTTTTTTAATATTTATTTTTTTTAGTTGTAGTTGGACCCAGTACCTTTATTTCATTCACTTATTTTTATGTGGTGTTGAGGATTGAACCCAGGGCCCCAAGCATGCTAGGCAAGCGCTCTACCGTTGAACCACAATCCCAGCCCCACATGTACCACTTTCTGTAGAATTATTGTCCCAAATCTGTCTGAGCCTGCCTGATTTATGTGATATTTTTGTTATTTCCTGCTCTTTAGCCTAATCATTTGAAAATCTGCATCTTTTTCTTAATTTTTTTTTTCTCCTTCTTTTGAGCAAATGTAACTAGGTTTATTTGTACCTCATTCAGTGGTTTCCTCATCCACTGGTCTGTATGCTACTTGTTAGGTGAAAATGCTTCTTGTGCCAGGTATGGTGGCTCATGCCTGTAATCACAATGGCTCAGGAGGCTGAGGTAGGAGATCACAAGTTCAAAGGTAGTGAAACCTTGTCTCTAAATAAAATACAACAAAGGAATGGGTATGTGGCTCAGTGGTTAAGCGTCACTGAGTTCAATCCTCAGTACCAAAAAAAAAAAAAAGAATGAACAAAAGAAAGAAAATACTTCTTGATGCTTTTGTTCTAAGAATCCACTTTGTTTTCTCATTCCTTACACCCCTGGTACTGGGTATTGAACCCAGGGGCACTTTACCACTGAAGCACACCCCCAATTCTTTTAATTATTTTGTTTGAGAATGGATTTGCTAAGTTGTCTAGGCTGGCCTCAAATTTGCAATCTCTCCTGCCTCAGCCTCCCAAGTCACTGAGATTACAGACATGTGCCACTGTGCCTGGCAAGAATCTACTTCTTTTTTTTTTTTTATATTTTTTTTTTTTTTTTAGTTTTCGGTGGACACAACATCTTTGTTTATATGTGGTGCTGAGGATCAAACCCGGACCGCACGCATGCCAAGGCAAGCACGCTACCGCTTGAGCCACATCCCCAGCCCAAGAATCTACTTCTTGATGATGTCTTTTTAAGTTCTATTGCCAGTGGTCACTTACTTTGTAAAAAGCCTCTGAGAGTTGCACCCCTTCAGATTGTATAGACTTTGGCTATACAAATTAAATTAAATTCTTTAGCTAAGAATTTAGAACTGCACCCATTTCTGTTCATGGTTAATCCTGGCCTTACAAAGACTACTTTTGTCCACATGTCATCTGTGTTTAGGATTATAGGTAGAGTAAAATGTAAGTGGGATTTAGAAAATTAGGGTAGCTGGGAAAGCTTACTTCAGTCCCAGATATTATCTGCCTTGAGACCTAATCACCATGTGGCAACTTCATAGTTGTGTGTGTGTTTGATTGGCCTGAGATGAAATTCTTTGGCAGGGGGCCAGGTGTGGTGGGGGTGTGTCATCAAGAGTGTGGTGGCCACCTAAGTTTTTTTCCTTATTGTGATTGAATCTTGGGCTTCTAAATGATTTTTTTATATGCTAAAAAAGAATAGTTTATTCATAATACCCAAATTCTCAGTACCAGTCAAGTGGGAATCTTGAGCAAATTAGTCTTTTTCTAGGACTGTAAAGATTAGTTTTCTTTTGAAGCACTGCCAAAATTACAGGCTATATGCATAATCAGTTAGCTCCTGCACCCCTAAATCTAGCCTGCTACCTTTCTGAAGTTGCCTCTGAGAAACTCATATTATGTTTATGATAAATTTGAACTGATCCACAGGAAAAATGCTTCTTATCTTTTACTTTTTTCTCACCTTGCTTCACTTAAGTTTAACAAGTGGTGTGGGTAACCTGTGGTCTGGCTGATTGGACTTTAGGTTCTACTTGAGTCTATGACCTTGAACATGATCTTACAGTATATTAGTATCTTTGGGTCTTCTTTAAAAGTACAGTTAGCCCTCCCTGTCCACTGCATCTGGTCATTCAACTAACTAATATGGAAAATATTTTTTAAAAATTCTATCTATGCTGAATCACATGTACCGACTTTTTTCTTGTCATGATTTTCTAAACAATAAACAACTATTTACTTAACATTTACATTGTATAAGAAATTTGAGCATCTGTAGATTTTGACATCCTCAAGGGTCAATCAATCCACTGTGGATACCAGGGAACTAACTATAATGGAAATTGTTGTTCCCTATATCCCTTTTTATACAAGGTTGTAAGGAGCATGCTGGCACTGAATCTAACATTTCCCTCCCATGTTCCTGTCAGAATCGGCTACATTCACAAAGGGCATTGCTTCTACAAGGCACTGAAAGCCTAAACAGGGCCACTCAAAGCATTGAGCGTTCTCATCGGATTGCTACAGAAACTGACCAGATTGGCTCAGAAATCATAGAAGAGCTGGGGGAGCAACGAGACCAGCTGGAACGTACCAAGAACAGAGTAAGTCTGCACAGGTGGGAAAAAGTGACTGGAATAGGGAAAGTAGGTAGGTCCACCATACCCAGATGCCATCATCCTAAGTCCAAAAAACTACAGCAGTTCTAAATTTAGGGGATAACCTTTTTTTTTTAGGTTGCTTGGGTAAGAGAGGATCTCCCTTTGAAGGAATTTTACCCCTAAGACTTAGACATTAATGGGAAAAAAAATTTTTAAAGAGGCATGTAAGGATTCAAAGTCAGCAACATGAGCTTTTAATTTCTCACATCTAGAGGAATATTTTGGTATTCTTAGGAAAACATCATCAACTTATAACACCCCATCTTTTAGAACCAACGTTCTTTTCCAAATGTCAAACATAGTACCATTCATAGTATGTAGATTTATAAACTATTGCTCAGTATTGGACTATAGTCCTTTACTGTTACCAAGGTAAGTTGGATCATTGAGGGAAGAAAACAAATAGAAATCCAATGATGACTGTTGTGGGTCTCTAATATGCTGCCACTTTTAAGAAACTCTGGGAAATAACTCATTTCTTCCTTTCTAAATATTTGTTACTCTACAGAGGGATTTTTAAAATAGTAGTTTGCCAGTGGAATGCTCTATCTTAATAGGCTGAGGCAAATTCAAACTGAAAAGCGGATAGTGGGTCCAAGATTTAGACAGGAAAATATTAGCTTAGTTTGGGGATTTGAGGGTATTGTGGAGCAGGTACTGGGGATTTGAACCCAGGGGTACTCTAAACTGAGCTACAACCCCAGCCCTTTTTATATTTTTGAGACTGGGTCTCACTAAGTTGCCTCAAACTTGTAATCTTCTTGCCTATTACAGGCATGCGCTACTCAGTGATATCTTTCTTACACATCTTAATAGCTTCAGTTCTTCATTCTTTTTTTCCCCACATTTTGCAATTCCTCATTCTTAAAATTAATCAGTGATTCTATTCTCAATATTAGTGAAATCAATATCAATATTCAGTGAAAATTCACAATAAAATGCTTATCCAAAGCAAGCTATGGAGAATTAACTTGCCAACAAATAATGTGGGTTCTGAGCTTTTAAATTTTGGTTAAATTTAAAAGCCAACGAAGGCTGAGGATGTAGCTCAGTGGTAGAGTGCTTACCTAGCACATGTGAGGCACTGAATTCGATCTTCAACATCGCATAAAAATAAATAAATAAATAAAATAAAGCCAAAGAGTGGGGTGGGTACAGTCATGTACACCAATAATCCTAGCTAGTTGGGAGGCTAAAGCGAGAGAATGGCAAGTTCAGTGTCAGCAATTTAGTGAGAATCTTTCTCAAAACTAAAATCTTTAAAGAGGGTTGGGATGTAGGTAGATTGAGGCCCTGATTTTAATCCTTAGTACCACCAAAAAAAAAAAAAAGCCAAAGAATGCACTGAGAGATCACTATATCAAGGCTATTGGTATATTGATCATCTGGGAACAGATGACAAGGAGCAGCCATTGAGATGTACTCTAGCTATCTAGATTAGTAACAGACAGTCAAAAGGGAAGGGGTCCATAGGGGCTAATTCCCTTCACAATTCAGTATAACTGCCTCAAAGGGGTAATAAAAGATTTTTAAAACACATTTTAAAATGATAATCTACCAGCTTACGGAAATAAACACCAACCCAGGAGGCTCTTCTGGAACTTGGCTGATGAAATAGAAATCTTAAGTTGCTACATAGTCACTGGCTGTGTATATCAGATCCTTTCCTGTTTTGAGTAGCCAAAGTAAAAGTAGTCCCAGCCAAAAGTCTACAACCCCACAGCAATCTTGGGATATAATAATTCTCACATCTCCTTGATGAATACCAAAGTACCTTTTCCTTTCCAGATTCTGCTACTTGTACTCAGAGGCCATAATTTAAATTAGTTTGATTTCTAGGCCTTTTTGAACATAGACCTCTTAATGCCCACTATTAATTTAGGAATGTTCAAATTCTATACAGTATGTACTTTTGAAAGAAGGGGGAAATAATTGGTATTTTCTCTTCTCAGCTGGTAAATACAAGTGAAAACTTGAGCAAAAGTCGAAAGATTCTCCGTTCGATGTCCAGAAAGTAAGTTTCAAAAAGTCACAAAATTTCTTTTAACTCTTAATGTCTTCAAGAAAGCTTAAAACATTGTCAGAGTCCTAATAAATCACCTTAGTGCTTTATTCCATATAGTCCCCCTGTACTCAGTACTACCCAGCAGATAGAGAAATAAAATAAGGAATATAGTTTTTATAGAGAATATTCCAGGATAAAATCCTTTGTTAAAATTATGTATTGCTCTGATTTGCAGCACTTGAAGATTTGTCCACTGAAAGAATGTTTAATCTCAGCTTTATATTTCTGCAAGAAGACACATGGGAATGATAGAGCTTCATATTTATTGAAATATATTTGTAAAAACTTGATTAGAAAATAGTTTTCATGGCCAGGCAAGTTGGCGCACGCTTGTAATCCCAGCTGCTCAGGAGACTGAGACAGGAGGATCTTGAGTTCAAAGCCAGCCTCAGCCAAAGTGAGGCACTAAGTAATGAAGGGAGACCCTGTCTCTAAATAAAATACAAAATAGGGGGATATGGGGATGTGGCTTAGTGTTTGAGTGCCCTTGAGTTCAATCCCTGGTACCAAAAAAAAAAAAAAAAGTGTTATTGCTTTGTCCTGGCTTTTGGCTCTGCTTGCCCTTCATGTGAATGAGGCTCTTTTCTGGGAGTCCTGTCATGTTAGCAAGAAGTAGATTTTAAAAACAAAACAGAAACCTTTGAGATGAGTACTAACAGCAACAAAACCAGGACTGAAGGGAAGTATTGCTATTGAGGCTGAAATTGGGGATAAGTGCATGACCTTGGGCACATATGGCCTAGCATGAAACAAAATGACAGCCTGTTCATGAAACTAGCAGGAAGCGTAGAGTTTTCCCTAAACAATAGGAAATTCCTTGTGGACTAAGGAGAAACCCAAGAGTGAACATGAAAATCAGAGATTGAACTCTGTGTAAACAAAAAATAGTACTTTTTTAAAAAAATAATAATAATAAAAGATACCCATTAGGTTAGGGGAGCAGAACAGAAGAAATAGGAACAAAGTAAAAAAGGAAGACTGAAAGGCAGTACCCAGGGTTCTAGTTACTTTTCCTAAAAGCAAAACCCATCCATGAATTGGACTTTGACACAGGAGGRTCTGTCCCAAACCCTTCACCCAGCATACACTCATAGCTGTGGTATTTAACCAATGTGGTGCTATGTGGCTAGATAGTGAGTGGTATTGTATTACTGCTATTTGAAATGTGATTTGAAGACATTTTAGAACCAAGAAACTATCTTTATGCTTTGGTATTTATAGTCCTAATTTTCCACATTTCTGTGAGGTAGACAGTTTTATCTCTAAATTACAGCTAAAGAACCTTCAGAGTTGCTACTTCCAAGCCATGAGTACTTATTGCTAAGTGGCTCTGTATTCAAACAAAAAATTTCATCTGCCCTCAGAGTATCTTAGCCTTGGCCCTGAGACAAACTCCAAAGAATGAAGAACTGTTAGAAATAACCTGTCCAGACTACTGACTACTTGTTCTGCTTCTCTTTGTAGAGTGACGACCAACAAGCTGCTGCTTTCCATTATCATCTTATTGGAGCTAGCTATCCTGGGAGGCCTGGTTTATTACAAATTCTTTCGCAAGCATTGAAATTGCTATAGGGAAAGGTTTGTGGATCAGAACCTTGATCCTGTGGACAAATGTTATTAGGGAGTGGAATAAGCGTGTTGCTGCTGTGGGCTAACAGTTCAAGGATGCACTGTGTAGCCAGACTGGGAGGAGGAATGGCAGCCAGAAAAACCACATAGATGTGAAGGAACAGTGACAAGACCAATATGATATACCAAGGTAATAAATGCAGTTTATGACTTCTGCAAATTTACATAGTACTGTAACATATCAATACCTTGTGAATTAAAAAAAAAATACATTTACAGTAGTATTATTGGTCACCAAAATGGAGAGGGGAAACTTTACAATCATGAAAGTGTATTGATGTTCTTATTAAGGCAGTATCAATCCAGCCAACCATTTAGTATCTGTCCCCTTGAATGCTTTGCAAATCTGGAATGCCCATCGTGAAATGTGCCAGTGCACAGTGTTTCCTAAATTCTCACACGTTCTTCATTTTCTGATTCATCTGGTGAACTGGGAGTAGGAAGTTGGTCATAGACAATGTGTCCTCCTTCCCTTGTCTGACCAAAACTTGAAGCAATCACATCCACTGCCAGGCTAGCTGTAGCCTTTGCCTCTTCATCTGAAGTGGCCAACTGAGGATTGACTTCAACAAGATCCAATGCTGACAGCAACCCTGGAAGAATAAGTATCAAAATCTCAGAAAATCGCCTAGCTGGTACTTTTAGTGAGGGTTGTCCCACTTGGACAAGGAGAACAAGCCAAGGTAAAAACAGGAGCACTTTTCACTATAAAATTATCTATTGTAAGAAAGCCCCTTGCACCTCATCCTCTTACCCATCAATTCAAGTTAAAAACACTATAAGCTGAAGTACTGAAAGAAACCTTTAAGGTAATCAAATAATTCATCCCTATTCAGCTAACATAATAGGCCTAGCTATCAGGCTTTCTAATGCTTTATCTATTTTTGTTATTGTTTTGGGGGGTGCTGGGGATCAAACTCAGGACCTTCTGCATGCTACGCACACACTGTAACACTGAGCTACATCCCCAGCCCCATTTGTATCCCTTAAGGCACTGTACCACGTGCCCTAAAATGTATATTCTTATCCCTTCATGCTTGAGTTCTGAGGAAAGTTCTACATCTGATACATTTTTTATGTCTCCCAGCAGACTGGCCCAGCATCTTACACTTTTTCATGGGAAGATACAGTCATTTGTTGCCTTCTGTGAGGGTTTGAGAACTTTTGCCCAAGTCCTCAGCACTGTTCTTTGGCCTGGAGGGGAAGGGAAGAACCTATCCAGATCTTCTTCCCTCCCCCTCTACATAGCCAACTTCTCTAGAACTAACTCCTTAATTGGTTAATCTGGTTAAAGTTAATCTACCTCTTTGAGAGTCATCTGAATAAACTAGTATTCAGGAATACAGTATCTAAGAATATTTGGTGTGACTATAAAGACTAGAATCATGGGTGTATACACCTAATGGCTTATTGATATTATGTTATAGTACATGATACTTAGTGTCATTGTATCTGTTCAGTGTGTTGTTTTAGCAGAACATAGCTAATTGCAGTGTGGAAAACTGCAATGACCAGGCATGTTACCATAGCATTTCCATCATTTTGTCCATATGACCTGTGTCTCTGACAGTTTATGTCACTGATTTATACTGGCTAAACCTGCACTCTGAACCTATCCCAAAAGTAATAATCAGAGAGTGTGTGCTACTATTACCTATGTTTCCTGACTACTGCCATCCTGCAAATTAAAGAAAACTGTTTGATGTATCTAATGGACAACATCATGAGTGTCTTTTGGAATAAATACTGCAACAGAGAAAAGGTGGCACAAGGCAAGGACCATGCCACATCTAGGTGCTGCAAGTTATTAAGCCCTCCTCTGACTGGTGACATTGGAAAGCTAAATGGAGGATTGAACTCTTGGGTTCTCTGTCCACTAACCCAAGGTAATAGCTAAGATGGTGGGTCTGAGAATGAAACTGTCTTGCTACTCTTAGATCTAAAAGTGCTGTCCTAAGGTTCTAGCAGGTTCTATGGGTTCAATGCCGATTTCTAACTCCTATTCCAGGGTTCCCTACAGCCTTAGACCTTTGAATCTGGGGTCTCTATGCTTCTTTATACCTGTTTCATGAAATGGTTACTGAAGTAGTACCACATGGTAAGTGTTTAAATTTTGGAAGGGAAGGTCATTTCAAGTGAATTTAAAACCAGAAGCTTTTTTACAAAAATGGAAACTGCAAACAAGTTTGAGTTTTGGAAAAGTTACTTTTGATAATCTAGAATTTATGTTAATATTGTCAGTGATTTATCCAACTGTATCCTACTTTTTAAAACTCCTATCAAACAACCTCTAGTACAAGACTTAGATAAAAAGGACTTGTCCCAACTTACAATATCTTTAAGAGATCTGCTTTGACTCCAAATTCCTGACTCCCAGAGAACCAACCCTCTTTTTTTGTGGTACGGAGGGCTGAATCCTATACGTTTTAGGTACAGAAATTTAAGCAAGGGGGAGGGAAACAGGAAATACTGGGGACTGAAATGGAACAAATTATATTCTATGCAGCTACAATTATGTCAAAACGAACCCCATTATTTTGTATAACTATAATATACAAATAAAACATTTTTTAGGGCAGGGCCTGGTGGCAAATGACTACTCCCAGCCACTCAGGAGGCTGAGGAAGGAGGATCACAAGTTCAAAGCCAGCCTTTGCAAATTAGCAAGACTCTTAAGCAACTTAGCGAGATGCTATTTCAAAATACAAAATAAAAAGGGTTGTGGATGTGCTCAGTGGCTAAGTGCCCTGGGTTATATTCCCAGTACCCCAAAAAATTTCTTTTCAGCAGAACAGCCTGGTATGATAACACATACCTGTAATCCCAGTGACTTGGGAGGCTGAGGCAGAAGAATCACAAGTTCCAGGCCAGCCTCAGCAACTTAGCAAGAAGATCCAGTCTCAAACACTAAAAGGGGCTGAGATTGTAGTTCTGTGATAGAGTGCCCCTGGGTTCAATCCCCAGTATCAAAAAAATTAAAAGTTTAAACAAAGATCCCCTTCAGGCAGGAGATTCCGCATATTTACATATATACTTAACAGGCTACTGACCTGGTATCTACATACCTGTATTGTGTATTTCCTCAGTAATATACATGCCTTCTCTATAGGTCAATCCCCCCACAACAGGGGTTCCTGTGGCTGGAGCCAGTGTAGGGTCAAATGCATCAATATCAAAACTCAGATGGATTGGCCTTTGTCTCCTGGAAAGGAAGAGGACCAGAGAATACATATTTAGTTGTGCTTGTAGACTCATTCATTCTTCCTGTTATCGTAGCTCCTTGATTTTGTTGTTTTTTGGTCCTGGTACTTTGTTAAATACAGCAAATTTCCAGGTTTTTTTCTTCCTGAAAGTTACTAAAAGTGTATGAGATTCCTACACTACTTCATGTTATTGGTATTTGTTCTACGTATTTCAGACAGATTAACTGCCGATTGTATTTCTGGTGTACCCTGGGCATTAGAGCCTTGTTCGTTACTGTCATTAGAGGGAATTCTTCACTTTCACATGACACTGGGCTCTGATATACTAATTTAAGTTAGCATGATCTGAGTTATAGTTGCCTTTATTCTCTAACAGCAGCTGAACTTAATACTAATTTTATGTCTGCAAACTTAACATCTGCCAATTCCAACTTGAGTACATGTGTCCAACGGCTGAAACTAACATACAGCACCCTGAAGTAAAAACTCAGGATTGGGAAAATGCTCCTTTAAGTTAGCATATTATTATCATTCATCTGACATCTTTCTATATTACCAAGATTTGCTTAATATTAGACTCAGATGAAGCAATAATAATGAGGCTGTGAAGAATGGGACTGTTGGAACAAGGAATGCCTCACATCTCAAAAGATAAGCATTAAATGGAGATAAAGCCGGGCACAATAGTGCCTGCCCTGTAATTCCAGCGGCTCAGGAGGCTGAGGCAGTATGATCGAGAGTTCAAAGCCAGCCTCAGCAATTTAGCAAGGTGCTAAGCAACTCAGTAAGACCCTGTTTTTAAATAAAATACAAAAATGGCTGGGGATGTGACTCAGTACTTAAGAGCCCGTGAGAAATTCACAAGAAACAGGAGATCTGGGCAGTGACTTAAAGGAAATTCCCTCCCAACCCCAGAAAAAGAATATGACTCAAGTTTCTATGCTAAAGAGACAGGCTAAGGTGTGACACCCATTGAGAGTTTGCTCTGTCCCTCTCTGGGATCTAGAAGTAGACATACATTGTAGTTACTTACTTGCCAATCAGCAGATCAAATGTCTGTTCCATGACCTTCTGAATACCAAGTCGATCAATATCTCTCATGGAAAAATACTGAATATCATAGTTCTTTAAAATAAAGCTGGTGAGAAAGAAAGAAAGGAATCCTTAGTTTAAAAGCTATTTTTAAGTGACTCAGGAGGCCTCAGCAATTTAGCAAGACCTTGTCTCAAAAAATAAAAAGGGTTGGGTATGTAGCTCAGTGACAAACCACCCCTGGGTTCAATCCCCAGTACCACACACACACACACACACAAAAAAAAAAAAAAAAAAAAAAAATCCAAGTTTTTTAGCATGTATATTAGGGGGTTTTGCCTTGTATTGACCTACAACAGATTACATCAAGTGTCAACCTTTAAGAGGAACATAAATAGCCAGCACAGGCCCAAAGCTTAAACTTACTGTTCAGGAGGGTCCACATCTCTTAGGCCGATATACACAATACTTGGGGAAGAGATACAAGGTTTGATCCAGGAAAATCCTGGGAGTTGTGGTACCTATGAAAAGAGGAGTGAACAAGATTATAGGATTAATTAAGAATTCTTGGTCTCACCAAGATAATCACCATGTGTTTCCAAAAGTGTGTAATCACTTTTTCCTCCTGTCCACAGGATATGTTTAAAACAACACAAGACACACTTGATCTAGGAAATAAACTTCACAAGAATGGAAATGTTTCAGAAGGGGAACAGAAAAACAATACAACTTTCTCAAGGAGAATGAAAAAAATTTTTCTCAAAATGGTCTTGGTTTACCATTAACTAGTCTAAACAGTAGGACTACACTGATTTGCCCTTTTGGTTCCTTTGCACATTGCTAAACTGTTTACAGATTGGTTCTTAAAGTATAACTCAATTGCCACCTCAAGTTGCCAACAACCAAACAAACTGTCTAATGAATAATCTTTGTACTATTCTGGTTTAACCTGGTTTCTCGCAAAGGGGGAGGGATATACAGTTACTAGTTTATGCCTGTCTTGGCATTAATGTGCCTCCCATGTCTTCTCTATAGCTTAGGAAAATATTACCCAGAGGTAAGCATAGCGTTGCTTATCTGAGGGTGTGGCCTGGGAGCCTCTAACCAAGGAGTCCTCAGGCTATGAGACTGTCCATCACTAGATACTACCACCTTACTTTTTTAGAGAATTATAAGCACCCTGAGAGCAGGGACCATGTCCTAGTCATCTCTAGATCCTAGCATCTAGCAGACTGTCTGACACACAGTAGTATTTAGTGAACAAATGAAAGGTTGGTAAGCCTCATGGAACCCATCCTTCACTCTAGTCTTATTGAACAAAACCTCCAAAGCCCCAGGAATAACCCTGTAAGCCATTTACCTTCTCATTCTGTCCCACTAACCTTGTCCTGTAGTTCTCTGAGAAGAAATGCAACTGGCTGTCCATGGAGGTTTCCTGATGAAGTGGTGAGGGGTGTATTGATGTCAGCATGGGCATCAACCCAGATGACACAAAGGTCTGGGCAGTGCCGGGTGTGACCACTAATGGTTCCGATTGCCAGGCTGCAAAGGACAAATATTATCTTCAAGGCCCTCTGCTTTGCTATCATCATCAATAAAAAATATTCTGAGCCAACACAGCTTACACTCTGTCCTCAGGGCAAAGTCAGGGCCTGGACTGGGTTAAGGTAAAACAAGTTTCCTGGGTTGTTGTCCCCAAAGATTAACCTTGAGTGGATTAGATATGAGAAATATAAAACTCTGAGGACTGGCAGCATGATAGATGTATTTCCTGTCCCAAAAATTCATGTCATTTGATCCATTAACCCTGGCCCAGAATAGGACCTCAAATGTTTGTTCAGTGAGTGAAATCTAGTTAAATGAATTGATCTATGTGTAACAAATCAAAAATGTTGCTTACTACCTCTTAAGGTCTCCACCTGGGAGATCTAATTTTAACTTACAAAGAATCAGTTAACTTTTTTTTTTGGCAGGGGGGAGGGTCCCAGGGATTGAACCCAGGGGCACTTACCACTGAGCCACATCCCCAGCCTGTTTTTATTTTCTATTTTGAGACAGGGTCTCACCAAGTTGCTTAGGGCCTCACTAAATTACTGAAGCTGGCTTTGAACTTCCAGTCCTCCTGCCTCAGTTTCCAAAGTTGCTGGGTTAGAGATGTGCACCATTGTATCTGGCCTACATTAACTTTTTATGGATTAAAAACTATAAATCATGGCTGGGGGAGTAGCTGGTACAGTGCACTTGTCTAACTCTGGGTTTGATTCCCCATCAGCACACACACACACACAGTGGAGTATTATTCAGCCATAAAGAGGAATAACTATGACATTTGCCAGTAAATGGATGGATCTGAAGACTATCATGCTAAGTGAAATAAGCCAGTCCCCAAAGGTTGAATGTTTTCTCTGATATGTAGAAGCTAACCCACAAAAAAGGGGTGGGGAAGAATAGAAGTTCAGTAGATTAGACAATGGGGAATGGAGGGAAGGGAGGGAGGGTAGAAAAAGGAAAAACAGTGGAATGAATCTGACATAGTTTTCTTATGTACATACAGGGAAACCACAGTGAATCCTACCATGTGTACATCAAGAATGGAGTCCTAATAAGATTTATTCCATGCTTGTATAATTATATCCAAATGGATTCTACTGTCATGTATAACTAAAAGAACCAATTTTAAGAAGAAAGCACTATAGCTATTTTTGCTTATATGTGCCTGAAACCTGAAAAGTCAAAAAGTTGTTAAAGTCATTAAAGTAATAAGCCAATCCAATTTAAGACTTMATGTCCACCACTGCATAAGACAAGTTATTTGCATATTATCTGTGTTAGCATGGCATTCAAATAACTTTCAATGATTTGTTTTTGCCTTTCTTTGTCCTTGGGCTCTGCTTACATCAGCTACCTGTTCTATCTCAACTGCAGGAATATGGCTGATGAGATTGTGGCTGGAAAGCTGCCCAGAAACAAAGTTGAGTTTGGCATAGACAAGAAATGCAGTTTAAGCATTCTATAGCCATCCTTGATCAATAAAGCACAAGACAGACTTTCAGGCTCCCCTTGAATGACAATATGGTCTAGTGCTAAAGGCAGTGAATTAAGGTAGATTACTGGAGTTTTTGTCCAGGAAGAGCTGTGAGATTGAAGACAAATTATCAAACTTCTCCAGACTTCCACTTCCCTTTCTGTAAGATAGGAATAAGAGTACTTGGCCTGTTTTAAGTCAGGACTGGTTTTGGTTGGGGGGCGGGGGTGGTACTGGGGATTGAAACCAGGGACACCACTGAGCAACATCCCTAGTCCTTTTTATTATTTAGAGACAGGGTCTCACTAAATTGCGTAGGGCCTTGCTAAGCCTAGCTTTGAACTCGATCCTCCTGCCTCAGCTTCCCAAGCTGCTGGGATTACAGGTGTGCCCTACCATACCTGGCAGAACTGGTTTGATAAGTAAGGTGATGTTGCATATAGTACTATATAAAAGGAGTGATCAAAACATGCCTCTTCCTTAAAATGGTCAATAGCCATTCAAATTATACACTTGTCCCTTCCTTTATAGACTATTCCAGATTGCCTAGGTTTTAGCATTGAATAGGAAGGAAGGARGTAATAACATGGGCTGCAGTATAGATAGCTACAGGTAAAAAAGAAAAAACAAGGACCATGGTAATCACATTGAAGAGGTCCCCAAAGAGTGAGACCTGACTACAGGAAAGACTAAATAAATAATCTTAGAGAGACAGCACAGAACTCTAAAGTTGATTTAACTGAATGCCCCAGTCATCATACTAGTGAATCTAGGTCTGATGACTCTATTATCCTTCCTGAATTTTTATTCTAATAAGGATTCTACGTGCTGTGCTTCTCGGCTGAACAAAAGCTGAACTTCTGATAATGATCTGAAAAGCTCTTAGAGTACCTCAGAGAAAGTTATTCTGTTAGATCTGAAAAGAAAAATTAATTGCAGTGGGGGCCACAATGGATTTGAATCCTATCTCTGCTATTTCTTGGCTGTAGGCCTTGGATAAGTTATCTAACATCTGGCTTTCGGTGCTTCCAGTAATAAATAAAACCATAAAATACATTGAAGTGCTTCTAGTGCTTCATTGCCTCTACCAATAAACGTCATTACTTAGCTAAAATAACAGTCCCCTGTGAAATCTGACTATTCAAGCACAGACCAACTTCTTTCTTCTCTGAAAGTCTATAGAATTCAATATTTTAAAAAAATTTGTTCCACATGTTTTAATTTCATCTAACTGGAATAAACTGCAAAGTTTCCTACAAATCCTTAGACTGCTGAGAAAACATCAGTACAGTGCTCAGTGAAGTATATACTGACCTACTAAGAGACAACGGCTCCAGTGATCAAATACATTAGTCTCCTAGGGTATTGTGGACTGGAAAGTATATTCACATTCTAAGGGATGATCTCTAACAAATCTATTAGAAATGTTAATAAAAATGCCTAAATTTGGGTTGGGGTTGGGCTCAGTGGTAGAGCGATCACCTAGCATGTGTGAGGCCCTGGGTTTGATCCTCAGCACCACATAAAAATAAATAAAATAAAGGTTTTGTGTCCAAATATAACTAAAAAACCAAATAAATATTTTTGAAAAATGCCTAAATTTAGTCCTGATGTATTCTTCCAGTTCTCCAAAATGAAAGCCATGTTTTCTAGAAAACTTAAGAAGCATGAAACATGGTGACTAAAAACCTTGCTTAACCTACCTTTGTACTTGCTGTGTCAAATAACACAAATCCTCTTACTATTCAATGTGTTACACAAAGCAAAATACACAGTTCCTACAAAAGTTCGTGATATTAGACATTAAAATGATGTTATATACACCACACCCTAAAAATACTGTAGATATTTTTCTTGGGATGAGGAAACTAAGATAGCAGCTAAGTAATGAGCCCAAAGCAACATGTTATCCAGCCCCTCACCACACCTGGCTCCAGCTTACCTGTGGTCGCCTCCCACGGTGACACAGCTGTAGCCACCTGATACTGCTCTGCTGACCACCTCTGCCAGTTCCTGGTTGGCAAGGCCCACAGAGCGTGGGTTCACTATCAGGTTGTTATAGAGATCATCTTTGGGCACTGGAGTAAAACTCAAGTCTCCAAAGTCTTTTAAGCGGCAACCTAGAAACAAGGGGTGATAAGAAGAATTGTATGTACTTTTCCAATTCTTACTGGCCTGGGATACTCATGGCAAAGTATACATCATACTTATTTTGTCACAGTAAAAATTAAAATGTCACATAAGTGGCAGAATTGCTCAATTCAGTAATCCTGGGAAGTAAACCCTCTTTTAATTTTTTTTAAGATGTAGATGGACACAAAACCTTTATTTATTTATTTAATATTTTTTGGTAGTGAGGATTGAACCCAGGAGTGCCTAACCACATCTCCAGCCCTTTTTTTTCTAAATATATTTTTTATTTAAGAGACAAGGTCTCACTGAGTTTGCTTAGGGCCTTGCTAAATTGTATAGGGCCTTGCTAAATTGTATAGGCTGGCTTTGAACTTGCAATCTTCCTGCCTCAGCCTCCTGAGTTGCTGGGATTACAGGTGTGTGCCACCATACCCAGTGATTATTTATTTTTTATGATTATTTTATTTATTTTTATGTGGTGCTAAGAATCAAACACCGTGCCTCACACGTTATGCAAGCACTCTACCACTGAGCTATAACCCTAGCCCAAGTAAACCCTCTTAAAAGAACACCATTTTTGCAGCAGAAACTGAGCTTTACAAACTAAAACCAAGAGGTATTATTAACTTAACCTAAATCACAAAATTGGTAGCACATGTCCCAGACTTATAAAGGGGAAGTAAAATACCAAAAGTAACCAACAGGATTTAAAGAAAATAAGTACTATTAATTAGGACCAAAATACACATATAGAAATTCTCAGACTTTTTAAAAATATTTTTTAGTTGTAGTTGGACACAATATTTTTATCTGTTTATTTTTATGTGGTGCTAGGTATTGAACCCAGTGCCTCACACATGCCAGGCTGGTAGAGCACTTGCCTGGCACGTGTGAGGCAATGGGTTCGATACCTAGCACCACATAAAAATAAAATAAAGCTATTGTGTCAATCTACAACTAAATTTWAAAAAAATCAGAAGACCTAAAGCATACGAAAATATCTGCCAGGCATGGTGGCACATGGCTTTAATCCTAGCAACTGAGGAGGCTGAGGCAGAAGAATTCCAAGTTCTAGACCAGCCTCAGCAATTTAGCAAGGCCCTGAACAGCCTAGTGTGATCTGTCACAAAAAATAAGGGTTTGCGGGGACTGGGCTTGTGGCTTAATGGTAGAGTGCTCACCTAGCATGTGTGAGTCACTGGATTCAATCCTCAGCACCACATAAAAATAAAATAAAGGTACTGTGTCCACCTACAACTAAATATAAAAAATAATAAATAAGGGCTGGGGATGTGGCTTAGTGGTAAAGTGCCCCGAGTTCAATCCCCAGTTCAAAAAAAAGAAAGAAATATATAATATATAACATTTGTTATGGGGGCTGGGGATGTGGCTCAAGCGGTAGCGCGCTCGCCTGGCATGCGTGCGGCCCGGGTTCGATCCTCAGCACCACATACAAACAAAGATGTTGTGTCTGCCCAGAACTAAAAAATAAATATTAAAAATTCTCTCTCTCTCTCCCTCTCTCTCTCTTAAAAAAAACATTTGTTATTACAAATTACTGGCAACTGTTACGCTTTTTTTTTTTTTTTTTTTTCTTCAGTGCTGAGGATTGAACTCAGGGCCACTTTACCACTGACTTACATCCCCAACCCTTTTCATTTTTTATTTTTGAGACAGGGTCTTGTTAAATTGTCCAGACTGGGCTCAAACTTTTGATTGACCTGTTTTAGCTTCCTGAGTCATTGGGATTATAGATATATGCCACCAAGCCTGGCTGGTTTAACATAAATTCTTATTTAGGATTCACAACAGTTCTATGAAGCAACTAAAATAATGCCTTTTCCATACAGTATGAGGACACTCAAGCAAAGAAAAGTAACTTACCTAAGGTCACATAGCTGCCAAATGCCAGAATCAAGATCTAGCAGGGCACAATTACACATGCCTGTAATCCCAATTACTCAGGAGGCTGAGACAGGAAGATTGTAAGTTCAGRGCCAGCCTGTGCAACTTAGCAAGACCCTGTCTCAAAAAATTTTTTTCAAAGAAAGGGTTGGGAGGGTAGCTCTGTGATAGAATGCTTGCCTAGCTTTTGCTAAACCTTGGGTTTAATCCCTAGTCCAAGTCATCTGGCTCTAATATTTGTATTTCTTACTGTACAGTTTGCCTCCCAAATAATTCTTCCTGTTTCCAGTACTTTAAGAACTCAATAGCCAGGCATGGTGACGCATGTCGTTTAGGAAGCTGAGAAAGGAAGATGAAGAGTTCAAAGCCAGCCTCAGCAACAGCGAGGCGCTAAGAAACTCAGAGAGACCTGTCTCTAAACAAAATACAAAATAGGGGTGGGGATGTGGCTCAGTGGTTGAGTGTCCCTGAGTTCAATCCCCGGTACCCCCCCCAAAAAATATATATATATATATACACACACACATACACATACACATTCTGACAACTTTGAATACTTTCTACCTATATTGTAGGTGAAAACTAAACAATCCAATTCTATCCAAAAGGGACATGAGGGCTATGGTTGTGGCTCAGTGGTAGAGCGCTTGCTAGCATGTGTGAGGCACTGGGTTCAATCCTCAGTACCACATAAAAGTCAATAAATAGAGGTATTGTGTCCATCTACAACTAAAAAAAATTAGAAAAGGGACATGAACTATGAGAGAACAGAATGTTACAGATTGTATGCTTAGGGCCCTGCTTCTCAAACTGGTGTCTAGTTATTGGGGTTTAGGGGGACTGTAACATCTCAGTGTCTGCATGGATTTGTTAAAGATTTGGATTAAGACCAGCATGGAACCGGGCGTGATGGCACACACCTGTAATGCCAGCAGTTCAGGAGTCTGAGGTAGGAGGATCTCAAATTTGAGACCAGCCWATGGAATTTAGCAAGGTCCTGTCTCATAACAATAAAGGGCTGGGGATGTAATTCAGTGGTAAAATTTCCATGTTCAATCCCTAGTATAGCTAAAAGAAGAGGGGGTGGAGAAAGGAAGAAAGAATGAGTGAGCATAAAAGACCCCACATGAAAGATTTATCCAGACAAGTAAGAGGAAAGGAATGAGGGAAAATGCAGGTAGGAGAAGAATGACAAAAAAAAAAAAAAAAAAAAAACAACAACAACAATGGGAACCAAGAGAAAATGACCAAATAAAATCTTTGTTTTGTTTTGGGGCTGCTGGGGATCAAATCAAGGGCCTCATGCAGGCTAGGCAAGCCCTCTATCAGAGAGCTACACCCCAGTCTATAAAAAATCTTTTTTTTTTTTTAAGAGCTCAGTGGGACACTCAGGAGGCTGAGTCAGGAGGATCACAAGTTTGAGACTAACCTCAGCAACTTGCTGAGTCCCTGACTCAAAATTTAAAAAAATAAATGACTGAGATTGTAGCTCATTGGTAAAATAGAAAATGAAAATCTTTTAAAAAGAAAGTCAAGAACTGGGGATGTAGCTCAGTGGTATAGCACTTGCCTAGCATGTACAAGATCCTGAGTTTGACCCACACACACCACCAAAAAAAAAAAAAAAAAAGCCACAAGTAAAATCATTATTGACTTCACCAAATTTCAAAATGTGGGGAGGACACTTTAGACTTAAGAGAAATGAAACTCTAACTTTGAAGTCAGTATCAGGTGTGGTCAGATCTTGAATGTTAGTGCCTATTCTAGGGTGTTTTTATTTGTATTTTTAATCTCAACAACCCCTTCAAGCATATTAAGCATTAGGTTCTTACTGGATTAAAACCCTAGAGCATGTCTGGTGTTTTGTAATTAGATGCATAATTATAAAAGCCTTATAATCTAAATAATAATAATGTTAATATTAACTAACTTTAGAGACCTCTCAGTGAGCTACACCCCAATCTATAAAAATCTTTTGCCAGGCACTTTAACTCATATTAATCCTCACATGCAAAAAATATACTGAGGAATTAAAATTTTTGTAGGTAAGTGACAGAACTTGGGGAACTCTCAAGACCAATCATGGAAATCAGGCTGTAGACTCAAGTAAGTGCAACAGAAAACTGCACTCTGCTCATTTGTATTTTCTTACTAGGGGGAAAACAAATAAACAACAACAACAACAAAATAAAACTGAACAAGGCCTGAAAATAATTTAGTAGTGTTAGAATAATACTGTCCAAGGAAGAAAGACTGAATTTTGTAAAAAGATTTTGATCATTAAATGTGTAACTGTGCTTTGGATTGGGTTAACAGAGTAATTATAGCATAAGGACTGGAATTTAGCTCAGTGTTAGAGCACTTTGCCTAGCATGCTCAAAGCCTTGGGTTCAATCCCCAGCCCTGCAGGGGCAAAACCAAAGATTAATTGAGAGCCCATATGGTGGATTCTCCTAAATTACCCAACTTTATTTACTCTATTTTCTCACCAAGCCACCTTATGGTTACTCACTTGGTTTCCCAGATGCCTTCACTTACTCACAAGGGCTTCCAGACAGTGCGTGCTGGGAGGTCTCTTGCTCAACATAATTACGCAGAGGCATTTTGTTTTATCCAGCATGGTTAGTGTGAGTCTGGGTATTAGAGCCTGAGAATCTCTACACACAGCAAGCTTTGTGTTTCTGGATCCACAAAGCTCTGAGCCTGACCAGGAAAAAATTAATTATCTTGAGAGGCCCTGCCTGAGCGGCCTGCCCTCTAGACTCCTAACTCAGCTCTTTAATTTTCACAATAAGTACCAGGTAAGAACTAGGAATAGCAAGTATTAAAGGATCAGAGAAGTCCGCTGAGGATTGAGGCAGTCAAAGAAGGACCCCTCCAACTTAAACTTGTATCAGCACTGTTTTGTTTTATTTTCTACCCTACTTGGATAGAAATTATAAAAATGAATGAGGAGGTATCTAATGGTAGAGGGTCCCACCCTAGTCCCCAGGCCAAACTACTATATCCTTGCAAGCCTTTATACCTAATATTTTCTTAAATAAGACTATTAGGTAGAGTAGGCTACACTGCTGTAGCAAAG